AGAGTACCATGGCATCACAGCTCACAGCAACCTCCAACTCTTGGGCTTAAGTGATTCTCTTGCCTCAGCCTCCCAAGTAGCTGGAACTACAGGTGCCCACCACAATGCCTCGCTATTCTTTTGTTGTGATTGTGATTGTTGTTTAGCAGGCCCGGGCTGGGTTCGAACCCACCAGCCCCAGTGTATTTGGCTGGCACCCTAACCATTGAGATACAGGCACTGAGCCATGCTGTGAGTTGTTTTGAATGTTGAGAGTTAGGAGCTGCTGGGAGTTATCGGAGTTGCTGGTTTGGGAGCTATTGTGAGTTGCTGGGAGTTGTTAGTTGTTGTTGAAAGTGTTGGGAGATGTTGGTTGTGAGTTGTCAGTGTTGTGAGTTGCTGGGAATTGACTGCTGGGAGTTACTGGGAGCTGTTGTGAGTTCCTAGGATCTGTTGGGAATTGTTAGGAATTGCTGGGATTGTTAGTAGATGGGAGATGGGAGTTGGGAGTTGTTGGGAGTTGCTGGAATCTTTTGCAAGTTGTTGGGAGTGCTAGGATCTCCTGAGAGTTTCTGTGAGTTGTGAATGTTGAGTACTTGGGAGTTGCAGTGAATGGTGGGAGTTGCTAGGAATGTTGGGAGTTGCTGAGAGTATAGTGGGTTGTTGTGAATTGCTGGGAGTTCTTGGGAGTTGCTGCAAACTGTTGAGAGCTGCTATGAGGGTTGGAAGTTGTGAGGTGTTGGAAGTTGCTGGAGTTCTTGGGAGTTTTGGGGAGCTGCTGTGAGTTATTGTGAGTGTTGGGAGTTGCTGGAAGTTTTGGGAGTTTTGACTTGTTCAGAGTTGCTGGGAGTTCTTGGGAGTTTCCAGGGTACCAGCACACACTTGCCCAGCAGGGGTTGCTCACTGTCCCCACATGAGCCACTTGCCACTCCAGTAAGCTACATGCAGCATGGCTCTCCCCTATCTCCCGCCATGCCTAGGACAGTACCATGAACTGAGTAACATCACGGGACCCCACAACGTAGCACTAGTGACACTGAAGGTATCTCCAAGAAGCAGAGAAGTTGTGACATTATAAGAAAAGTTCAATCGGTTGACATGCACGGCAGTTTAAGGTCCATAGCTGCAAGTGCCACCATTTCAGACAATTCACTTTGTAAACAAAACGGATGGCAAAAATTTATAGCATTAACAAAAACAAGACAGTACTATAAATACAGCTTCTCTTCCTTATGATTTTTATAACATTTTCCATATCATTTTCCTAATAACTATTTTCTCTAGTTTATTGCAAAATATAGTATATAATACATATGACATACAAGGTATGTATTAACTGTTTACGTTCTCAATGAGGCAAATAGTAGTTAACTCTTTAAGGAGTCAAAAGTTACACACGGGGTGGTGGCTCTTGCCTGTGATCTCAGTACTCTGGGAAGCCAAGGCAATCACTTGAGCCCAGGAGTTCAAGACCAGCCTGAGCAAGAGTGAGATCCTGTCTCTGTTTAAAAAATAGAACAAAATAACTAGCTAGGCATTGTGGTGGGTGCCTGTAGTCCCAGCTACTATGGAGGCTGAGGATTGTTTGAGCCCATGAGTTATTATAAGCTACAAGACCATGGCACTTTACTCAGTGGGACAAAGTAAAAATGCTGCTTCAAAAGAAAAAAATTATATGGATATTTATGACTGCTCAGGGGGTCAGCACCCTAATCCTTATGTTGTTCATGGGTCACCTACACACCTGGGTGACAATACAAAATTAAGCACACAGAAATGGCTATGGGGAAAAAAGGCATTTTTAGGACCTTCAGATAAGACATCAAGAGGCAAACTGAAAACTAACACTGCAGACGTCAGAGCCATGAGGATAAAAGGAAATATCAAAGCCACGGGAGTAGGAACGGACTGACAGGATAGTAGTTAGAGCACACAGAGCAGGACGGGAAGGTCTGAGTCAGCAAATCAGGGAAACAAACTCAGCAGAAATTTAGGAGAAAGCCTTTCTGTCTCCACTTGATGAAGAGGATAACTGGGAGGAAGGCATTGCTCACAAACAGGACAGGCAGGGTGTGGTGCCATTACCTGGTTATCAAGTAGGGGCTGCAGCATGGCACTCGCTGAGCCTCCAGCCTTGAAGGAATCTCTCTGGTAGGATCCCACTGGGTCAAAGCTGTACACGGCTCCCTTCCCTTAAAGAAGAAAACAGTCTCCATGAGATGTCACCTGGTCATAACCCCAAAACACAGTAAATATAAACCCAGTCAAAATGTGACACCATATACAGAATGGACTACTGACTTGGTTAAAATTTCAGCTAACAGAACACAGTCATAGCTGTGCACAGGTGACAGGCAGACCACAGTGCCCCAGAGGAGGCAAACAGTCACTGCTACACAGGCAAGATGTAGAAGTCAGGCTGGCACCTGTGGCTCAGTGAGTAGGGTGCCAACCCCATATACTGAGGGTGGTGGGTTTTGGCCCCGGGCCAAACTGCAACAAAAAAATAGCTGGACGTTGTGGTGGGTGCTTGTAGCCCCAGCTACTCGGGAGACTGAGGCAAGAGAATTGCCTAAGCCCAGGAGGTTGCTGTGAGCTGTGTGACACCATGGTACTCTACCAAGGGCGATAAAGTGAGACTCTGTCTCTACCAAAAAAAAAAAAAAGAAGTAGAAGTCACTGGGGCACAGGTGACAGTCACTGGACATCATTATGATCGCATAGGTGACACCCACGCTACTGCTACTTAGGGTAACCACCACCTAGAGCAGTCATCAACTTGTATGCAGTAAGAGAATCTTAAGCGTGCCACAATTTTTTTTTTTTTTTTTGAGACAGAATCTCACTTTGTTGCCCTTGGTAGAGTGCCATGGCATGATAGCTCACAACAACCTCTAACTCTTGAGCTTAACTGATTCTCTTGCCTCAGCCTTCCGAGTAGCTGGGACTACAGGTACCCCCTACAATGCCTGGCAATTTTTAGAGATGAGGTCACACTCTGGCTCAGACTGGTCTCCAACCATCATCTCAGGCAAGCCACCCGCCTCGGCCTCCCAAATTGCTGAGATTACAGGCATGAGCCACAGCACCAAGCCCGCCGCAAAAATTTTTAAAGATCATTAAGTATATTATTTTTGAAAGAAATTCAAAAGCACAGTTAAGTATATGTTTGTTTTTTTACTTTTTTTGTTCAACATAATTTAAGTGTGCCACAGTAATTTATAGGTTTAAGTGTGCCCTTGGATAAAAAAGCTTGAAAAACACTAACCTAGAGCTTGGAATGTGGTCAGAAGCAAGAGGCTCCACACCCTGTCACTCAATGCTATCTATGATCAACCCTCCCAACAGTTCTTTAAGATGTTTAAGCTAATGTCACCAATGACCATTCTGTGGCCCTACAATGTTATGTGGTTTCACAGATGCACTGGCTAATGGTCACAGGCTCTGAGTCTGACCATACTCCTAATGACATTCCTAAAAAATAAACTAGTGTAGTTTTGTACAGATTACACAGTTTTAAATTTTCCCAGTGCTAAATTATGTGAGCAACCACACGGAAAACTTTTTAAAGTACACTCTTTAGCGTCAGTACTATAAAAACCAATATACAATAAAAAAGGGATTTCAGAATAGAAATGCCACACAGGAAAGAACAGTTTGCTTAAAATGTAACCAGTTGTCTTGCACTACCAGAATTATAACCACTAATATCTGTGTAAGAAAAACAGGGTGTGAGTTCATCTAACAGAGAAATGTGTGCCTAGGGAAGTATGAATCACAAAATAAGTAAAATCATGCTTTTTGAAGAACAGCAGAATCTGTTGTTCAGATTCTGAACAACAAAATGTAAAAGTATGTACCTCAAGACCCAGTAACCTCACTTATGGAATAGAATTTATCCTACAAAAATTTTTATGTAAACACATACAGCAGTATGAAGGATAACACTGTTGTATTATTTAAAAGAGCCAAAAGTTACAAGCAACCTAAAAGCCATTAAGTTACCCACATAGTGGGAAGCTGAGCAGCATAAAGGCAAACCTAGGAGCCCATCTGCCAGGTGCAACCCTGCCTCCCCGTGAGGCCTGGTTAGGCTGTTTTCAGTTGTAAAACAGAAATACATATACAACCATCTCATAGGGTTGTGAGGTTGTAAGTTAACCTACATAAAGCATTTCCCAACACACTGTATGTTAGATGTACACTTAATATTTGGCAGTCTAGGAAGAGGAAGACTTCTACAGAGGCGGAGGTTGGAGGACACAACCACAAAACAAAGTAAAATGAAGAAAGTGCTATAATATGTATAGGACAATCCAATTTTTATTTGAAAGTCTGAGAAAACTGTACATATGTTTGTATAAACACAAAAAAAGTCTAGAGGCTGGGCATGGTAGCTCATGCCTGTAATCCCAGCACTTTGGGAGGCTAAGGGATTAGGATCCTTTGAGACCAGGAATTTGACACCAGCCTGGGCAACATACCAAGACTCTACCTCTACAAACAATAAAAATTAAAAAGTCCAGAACGATAAATAGAAAACTGTTGGTGGTTATTTTGAGCATAAGATCAGTGGCAAGGAAAGAGGGGAATAATGCTGTATGGTATGACCCTAGGAGGTGAGAGATAGGGACAGTCTGTCTACTGTCCATGGACAACTGCCATGGTTAGCTTTGCGTCTTTCTTCTACTGCAGAGTCATGGAGACTGGATTCCCTGGAGCACTGGAGCAAGACTATCTCAAAAACAAACAAACAAAATCCCCTAATTACTACAAATGACCTCTCAGACATCACTTCTAAGTGGTTTCTTGAATATTCAGAATCATATTTAGGTCAAGCTTCTTGAGGCCAGATTCCTTTACGTAAGATAAAAATGCTAACTTACTTCTAAGTTATGCAAAATCTTGAAAAGATAGTAACTGGCTGCTCAATGTTTGCTATTACAGTTTTAATACTCCACTTGTTTGGTGCCTTTGGATGTCAGCCATTTTCCTTTTAGCTTCAGTTTCTTCATCACTTTCATTAGCAGAAAATGAAGTTGTTGGGTCCAGGGTGTCCAACCTATAGCCCACAAGCCACATGCTGATTTTTGGAGGACTGTTCTGCCTATCTGTGGTATCTGTTTTGTGAAAAGTGTACACAGACCTTTTGTTTTGCATATCAGATATCAGTTGTGTTTGTGTATTTAATGTGTGGCCCAAAGCAACTCTTATTCTTGCAACTTGCAGCAGAGGAATAAAAAGGTTGGTGTTTGTGACTCTTTCCAAGTCCAGATAGAAATACATAAATCTAGGAAATGCAAACAACCTCCCCTGCCATCTTCCCGAAAGAAAAAATTCTACCTTCTTCATCAAGTCCACCAATGATGTTGTAGACATAGTATGGGAAGAAGCGCCTGGAGTACAGGATTGTGGACAGCATCGCAGCAATCGCCCCTGTAGTCATGGCCTTATTGTTGGAATGTTTATACATCTGCAATTATTGATAACAACACAATCTATTACAGATACAACAGTAACAGTATAAAGAATCAAATGCGGCTCGGCACCTGTGGCTCAAGCGGCTAAGGCGCCAGCCACATACACCTAAGGTGGCAGGTTCGAATCCAGTCCGAACCCGCCAAACAACAATAATGGCTGCAAACAAAAAATAGCCAGGCGTTGTGGCGGGTGCCTGTGGTCCCAGCTACTTGGGAGGCGGAGGCAGGAGACTCGCTTGAGCCCAGGAGTTGGAGGTTGCTGTGAGCAGTGAAGCCATGGCACTCTACCTAGGGTGACAGCTTGAGGCTCTGTCTCCAAAAAAAAAAAAAAAAAAAAAAAAAAGAATCAAATGCACACCTCAATGAATGGGAAAGCAAATCTGTTTCTTTCATAGATCAAAGAACAGAGTGAGATACTAAAATAAAATAACTTAATACCCCCTATGTTATTGGGGGTGATAAAAATTTTAAGTGAAAGAATGTAAGACACCCCTCAGCCCTCTGGCTTAAAGACTATTTTCTGGCTGGGCACAGTGGCTCATGCCTGTAATCCTAGCATTCTGGGAGGCTGAAGCAGGTGGACTGCCTGAGTTCCTGGGTTTAAGACCAGCTTGAGACAGAGAGAGACCCCATCTCTAAAAATAGCTGGGCGCTGTGGCAGGGATCTGTAGTCCCAGCTACTTGGGAGCCTAAAGTAAGAGAAATGCTCAAGCCCATGAGTTTGAGGTTGCTCTGAGCTATGACACCACAGCACTCTACCGAGGACAAAGTGAGTCAAAAAATTTAAAAAAGGCACTATTTTCACCCTTATCCCAGGTACTGCAAATTCAAGAGTAAATGTGCCGTAAACACAAAGAAATGGAATCACTCTAAGTGCCCATCAATTCACGAGTTGATATAAACGTACCATGGAGTACTACTCAGCCACAAAAAGAAATGAAATACTGTCTTTTGAAGCAACTTGGAACTGCAAACCATTACCCTAAGCAAAGTGTCTCAGGAGTGGAAAAGCAAACACCACATGTGGTCTAGTCAGTGGAAGCTAAACAAGGGGCACACTCGGGCACAGGTTAAGTCCCAGACCCAGATTAAGTCCCTCCCTTTGCAGAGCAAATCTCTGTGAGAATAGACGCACACACAGCACCCTCACTCTGCAAGACTATAACACAGGGCAGCGTCTCCTCTCACTCCTTAAAGCATCTACAGTGGAGAACACAGTGTCCAAAAAAGGACCTTAGGATACCACCACCATGATTCCATAATCCTAATTTACCATACCTTGGGAATCCTGAATTATCCAACTGATGGAGAAATTCTACAAAAATACAAACCTAAGACAGATTTAAGTTCCTCAGTTTTTGTTAACCACACAGCAAGCACCTACTTCAAAACCTTAAAAGCGACTGTGAATGAAAACTCTCCTGAGAGGCTAAACCATTTTACTAGTTTTTTTTTTTTTCCCAATGGAAGGTACGTAGACTACAATATCAATACATCTATAATGCAATTTTTTCTTTTACAGTTTCAACACTCCAAGAATATTTTTTGTTTTGTCTTTTTTTTTTTTAGACAGAGTCTCACTTTGTTACCTTTAGTGGAGTGCCGTAGAGTCACAGCTCACAGCAGCCTGAAACTCCTGGGATCAAGTGATTCTCCTACCTCACCAAGTAGCTGGGACTACAGGTACCTACCAGGATGCCTAGCTATTTTTAAAGACAAGGTCTCTCACTGGTTCAGGCTTGTCTTGAACCTGTGAGCTCAGGAAATCCACCTGCCTTGGCCTCCCAGAGTACTAGGATTACAGGTGTGAGCCACCTCACCCAGCCTTGTTTTGTTTTTGAGATAAGGTCTTGCTCTATCACCTTAGCTAGAGTGTAGTGATGTCATCATAGCTTACAGCAACCTCAAACTCCGGGGCTCAAATGATTCTTCTGCTTCAGCCATTGGAGCAGCCGGGATTATTTCTGTTCCAGCAACTATCATGGGGGTTACCTATCACATGTGGTCTTGGCACAGTGCATTGCTAAGTTTGATCATAATTTGGTTCTGTTTGTGAGAAAGTGCAGATGAAGTTTGCAAGGGACTAACCAAAACAGAATTGGTCAGCTTGTCTTCTGTCTATAAAGGTTAGCTTGTTCCTGACACAAAGCTGTCTACTAGGCAGACAGCAGGTTGTAACCCTTAGTTATATCAGAGAGAAAGGGTAGGCATTTTTAGGCTTTAACATATCAGGTTTACGGAGCTGGAACATATTCTTCTTAGCAAAGTATCTCAAGGATGGAAGAAAAAGTATCCAATGTACTCAGCCCTACTATGAAACTAAATTTACAGCTTTCATATGAAAGCTATAACAAAATTATAGCCCAAGAATATGGGGAAAGGGAAGAGGGAGGGGAAAGAAGGAGAGAAGATGGGTGGAAGGAGGGTGATTCATGGGACCACACCTGTGGTTCATCTTACAAGGGTACGTGTGAATCTTTCTAATTGCAGAATATAAATGTCTTAACATAACAACTAAGAAAATGCCATGAAGGCTATGTTAACCAGTTTGATAAAAATATTTCAAATTGTATATAAAATCAGCACACTGGCTCGGCGCCTGTGGCTCAAGTGGCTAAGGTGCCAGCCACATACACCTAAGGTGGTGGGTTCGAATCCAGCTCAGGCCCACTAAACAACAATGACGGCTGCAACCAAAAAATAGCCGGGCGTTGTGGTGGGCGCCTGTGGTCCCAGCTACTTGGAAGGCAGAGGCAGGAGGAGACTCACTTGAGCCCAGGAGTTGGAGGTTGCTGTGAACTGTGGTGCCATGGCACTCTACCCAGGGCAAGAGCTTGAGGCTCTGTATCAAAATAAATAAATAAATAAACAGCACACTGTACCCCATGACTGTGTTAATGTACACAGCTATGATTTAATAAAAATTAAAAAATAAATAAATAAAAATCACCAAAGAAAAAAATATATATCAGGCTTTGACAGTTTTTTGTCACCCAGAAGCCACCTACTGGCAGCACTTACCACATAAACTTTCTTAGAAACCTGCTCCATGTAATTCTCATGTCAGCCTGTATTCTTTGCAATTGTGTATATTATTTTATAGCATGGTGACTTGTTCTGACAGAGAATTGGTAAATCTTATTAGTAACAGACATTACACTTAGGTACTAAAGGGGTTCATGGTGTACCCAAAGAAGAGACAGGGAGAGGTTCAGGTCAGGTTTAAGGAAAAGGACGGAGAGCCCCCTGGGCAGGGCAAAGATGGCATCTGCACCGACAGCAGTGGGAGGCCTATTTTTGTATTGGGCATAGCAGGAGGAAGATCCCATAGCTTTCTAGTGAGCTAGGGACTCTTGGGATGGGATCAGATAGGCCTTTCATTGGAGGAGGAGGAAGAAGGCAAAGGGGTTGTGTGGGTCCACATGAGGTCCTCAAAACAAGTACAAGGTCAGTGAGTAAAACATAAATCACTGGGTAGCAAAAATTACTTGAGCATAAAGAATTTTCTTACAAACATAGCTAACATTTATTGAGCCCTAACTACATTTAAGGAGTTGAAGTATTTTCAAAACAACTCTGAGATAAAGGCAGTAGGCCATTAAAAACATGAGTGTAAAATTAAGAAAACAACCTTAGGCAACACACGCTTGTCCACAGATGACATAGCCAGTGGTAAGGTGACATCAAGGTGCACCTCCATCAGTGGTGAGCCAGCACCATACATGGTTTGTCAGTATAAGTGCTTTACACATAAATAAGAAACTGACTGGGTGTGGTGGCTCACACCTGTGATCCCAGTACTCTGGGCATAGATCACTTGAGCTCACAAGTTCAAGACCAGCCTGAGCAAGGGTGAGAACCATCCCCCCCAAATCTCTACTAAAAATGAAAAACTGAGGCAACAGGATCACTGGAGTCCAGGAGTTTGAGGTTGCTGTGAGCTATGATGATGCCATAGTGCTCTACGAAGGGTGACAGAGTGTGACTATGTATCAAAAAAAAGAGAAGAAAAGAAATAAGGAGGTTGATTTTTCTCTCTGGCTATTAAAAAGGAGACATCCACAGGTACATGTTTAAACTGTGGGATACTACACTGATTTAACCAGAGGACCTGGGATTGATTCTATGCAGGTTCTGCTGATTTCTGCTAGTGGGCTTAAACTCATGCAAATGTGTGTCCGATCTTCTGCTACTTCAAAGAAGACTTTATACCTTAGCCGTTTTCCCCATAATGTTGACATGTGTTAATGTTGTTCTCCTTTGTTTTTCTTCCCCAACCAAAAATCTATATTTTAAAATAGTCTTTTTAGCCAGGAGTTGTGGCGGGCACCTGTAATCCCAGCTACTTGGGAGACTGAGAGTTTGAGGTTGCTATGAGCTGTGATGCCACAGCACTCTACCCAGGGCGACACAGTGAGGCTGTCTCAAAAAAAAAAAAAAAAAAACCAAGCACCCACATTTGCTCATTTACCAGTTAAGTAATCATGTAGGTAAAAAACATTTTAGGAATGATGTGTATTATGGTTAACTCACTGTTCTTTATTAGCAACAGATTTTTGTCTTCTATTTTATAAGACAGACTACTTTAAATTAATTAAAAAAGAAGTATATATTTTTGTCTACTAATTCCTACTATTTCTAAAGCATGCATTAGGAATCATTGTATAAATATGCCAATAAACTTTGATGACATCAAAGTCATGTAAGTAAATGTCCTAAAAAGGTACTAACAATTGATGAATATGAAATTATTTCAACACATTCAAAAAACAAGTTTGAGTTAAATAAATGCATTATATACTCCAATGACTATAACATCATTTGTAAGTGTAATTAACCTCAAGTGTTATTCACAAATAGGCAAAACAAAACATGATTCTCCCTGAAGCCTTCCAGATGATGGGAGTTAATGGTGTTTGTTATGCCTTTTTCCTGGCTTATTCCTTCATACCCCTGCTCATGCATTCTGCCAGCTAAGAGCACAACACTGCAAAAAGGAAAAGCTCAGCTGATGACAATCCAGACCAAGTACTGGTCTTCAACCCTGCCTAGGCTCTGTCCCCTGCCACAGAAATCAGATTGTTCCATTTCCGAGGGAAGAGTATCTTCAGAATACCCGCTTTGGGGCTGGGTATGGTGGTTTACACCTGTAATCCCAGTATTCTGGGAGGCCGAGGTGGGTGGATCGCTTGAGCTCAGGAGTTTGAGACAAGCCTGAGCAAGAGTAGGATCTCATCTCTACTAAAAATAGAAAAACTAGCCAGTGCCATGGTGAACAGCTATAGACCCAGCTATATAGGAGGCTAAGGCAGGAGAACTGCTTAAGATCAGGAGTTTGAGGTTGCTATGAGCTATGATGCCATGACACTCTACCCAGGGCACAGAATGAGACTGTCTCAGAAAAAAAAAAAAAAAAGATAACCCCTTTCCGACAACCTCTAAAGGGGTAGAAAACCCTTTCTATGGAGCAGAAATTCTAACAAATATAATGTGCTGAAACTTCGTATCATGCTGCTTTAATAATCCTACAACAAAGGCATCATTTCATTTCTAAAATACATTATGGTCTCACCTGCTAACCTAGCACCCTTCTAATTATTCTGAGCAACAGTCATGCCAAAGGCATAAAAGAATCTTGGGAATTTTTTTTGGGGGGGGGGTGACAGGCTCTCTCTCTGTCACCCCAGCTAGAGAGCAGGGCCATCATCATAGTTCATAGCAACATCCAATTTCTAGACTCAAATGATCCTCCTGCCTCAGCCTCCTGAGTGGCTAGGACTATAGGTATAACACCAAGCTAATTCTTTTTTTTTTTTTTTTTCTGAGACAGAGTCTCAAGCTGTCACCCTGGGTAGAGTGCCGTGGCATCTCCCAGCTCACAGTAACCTCAAACTCTTGGGCTTAAGTGATTCTCTTGCCTCAGGCTCCCAAGTAGCTGGGACTACAGGCACACACCACAACACCCAGGTATTTTTTTTTTTCCTTTGGTTGTCATTGTTGTTTGGCAGACCCAGGCTGGAGTTGAATCCGTCAGCTCCAGTGTATGTGGCTGGTGCCCTATGAGCTGAGCTGCAGGTGCCAAGCTTTTTTTTTTTTTGGCAAAGACAAAGTCTTGCTCTTGCTCAGGCTGCTCTCGAACTCTCGACCTCAAGTAATCCTCCTACTGTAGCCTCCTAAAGTGCTAGGCTTACAGGCGTGCACCATCACACCTGGCCTGATACTAATTTTCAATAATGTAGTCATATTCAAAAACATCTACCTTTAATCTGGCTTCAATAATCTTTGTCAGGGTAAGACAGTCTCCATGAAAACCGCTGCATCCAATGACTGTTTTGTCTGTTCTGTAAAAAGCACATTTCAGGAAATTGAGTTGGTCAGACAGTAAAGCAAATCATGGGTAATTTTAAATTTAAAACTACTACCATTATTCCCTAAATGGTAACAGAACAACTAGCCACTCCTTTTAGGGTTGGAGGAGAGGATGTATTCCTACACCTCACTCCTTACATTTAATGAATTATAGTTAGATCAAAGACTTCAGGAAAAAAACACAAATATATTACATAAATATAATGAAGAAAACACAGGTAAATTTTTTACTATCTTGGGCTGGAAAAGACAGATTTCAACATAACACAAGACAAAGGTCACACAGAAAAAATTTATAAATTTGACTACTTAAAAACTTATACAAAAAAAAAATACAGGGAACAGCTTTAAGAAACTAGGAAAATAAATGGTAGCACACAAGACTGAAGGCTAGTTTTACTTTCCATAGTCTACAAAAGATTCCTATGAATAAGGAAACCATTAACAATATAGTGAAAAGATGGGTAATATTCTACACATAGACAATTCACAGGAAATAGACAGTCATCATAAACATAAGAGCTTCTATGTCACTCAAAAATTCAAAGCTAAACAAGACACAACTTCAGCCAGTTAGACTGGCTAATAATAACCAAAGCTAGTGAGGTTGATTTATGAATGACTCACAAACCGTATTTGTCATACCAGAGGGAAAAGGCATCGCTGAGGGCCACCACTTGCAGTCCCTGATCTACCTCCCAGCCCACTGCACAGCACTGACCTCTAATTTCCCATAAGGTTTCCCACTTCCACTACCAAGATGAGTTGGCAATACCAAGAGAAGAGCAAATCTTAGAACTCAAGATGCATCTCCCAAATACCCAGCTACATCTAAAGAATGGGATTTTTCTTGCAAAGAATAAAGTCTCAAACAGGTGGGTAAGAGGCAGACTTGGCTCCAGTCAGCCGCAAAGTACATTGGATAAAGGATATATAGGTATTTGTTAATGTCATATTGTTCTCTATACCTGAAGTATTTCATAAAAAAAAAAAAAAAAAGTATTTCACTTCGGCAGCAAACATACTAAAATAGAATGTTACAAAGAAGAGCAAAAACTTGCATTAGATGATATCCACAGTTATGTTTTTAGATTTTATTTGCAATATTTACTACTTTCAAATTATACAAATTACCTCTTAGAAAAGACAAAAAGGTAGAAGAGCCTTATAAAATTAATGAATATGGCCGGGCATGGTGGCTCATGCCTATAATTTCAGCACTTGAGAGGCTGAGGCTAGTGGATTGCCTGAGCTTACAGGTTTAAGACCAGCCTGGGCCAGAGTGAGACCTTGTCTCTAAAAATAGCTGGGTGTTGCGCCAGGCGCCTGTAGTCCCAGTTACTTGGGAGTCTGAGGCAAGAGAATCGCTTGAACCCAAGAGTTTGAGGTTTCTGTGAGATATGACACCACGGCACTCTACCCACGGATTTAAAATGAGACTCTGTCTCCAAAAAGAAAAAGAAAGAAAGAAAGAAAATTAATGAATAGGAGAGAGTAGCATCAAAATACAGAAGTAGAAAGGAAGGATATTTTGAAGATGAGGCCATCTTCAATTGGTTTTTAGGTGAAAATGTGGGCCATCCCCAGAACTAGGTGAGCAGACACAGCTGTCCTTTCTTCACCAACTCCCTATGGTACCACAGGCCTTGTCCAGAGGCCCTAAACCTCATCCAGTCCTATTCCCACTGCAATTTAGATGCATCCAGCTTTTGTGACTTAGGCATTAATAACCATTTATAAGCTTTGCCAAAACAGTTAAATACAAACTACTGCTAATCTTCAATATATATTTAGGTGATTTGTATACACATTTTTTCTTTTAGTACATACAGCTTTACTTTCATGTTCAGGAAAAAATCTCTGTTAAGGTTCTTTGCCTCACAGAACCCAGAAAACTTTAGTCACTAGCCGACTGAAAATGTGAGCTATGGGTCTAATTGCTTAAGATAGTGGTTCTCAACCTTCCTAATGCCACAAACCTTTAATACAGTCCAAAGGGGTTGTGACCCACAGGTTGAGAACTGCTGGCTTAGGATATGTCTAAATTGAATGCTTCAGGTAAAAGCAGGGGAGGTCTTTAAAATCCACTTAATGGGATTACTGGTGCTATAGTGTGAATGTGTGTCCTCTCCAAAACTTATGTTGAAATTTATTGCCATTGTGATGGTTTAACAGGTGGGACCCTTAAGAGGTATTTAGGTCATGAAGGCTCTGCCCTCATAGTTGGAAATGAAGTGGGCTGGCCCCTCTCCTCACTCTCTCCACAATGTGACAGTGTGGAGACATAGCAGGACAGCCCTGGCCAGCTGCTGGACCCTCAAGCATGGACTTCTTGGCCTCTAGAACTGTGAGCCAACAAATTTCTGGTCATTATAAATTCCCCAGTCTATGTTTTCTTTTATAGTAGCACAAAACAGATTAAGAAAAATGGATGGAAAGATGTGATAAAGTAATTACAGTAAAACATTGATGCAAAAATCTAAGGTGACAGCACAGGAATGTTCACTGTGAAATGCTTTTCTATTATTGTATATTTGAAATTTTTCATGATAAAATGCTGAGGTAAAACATTTAGCTTCATAAGCACTGGTAGTATCTAGGTAAGGCACATATTAACACTGCACACTGAATTATTAAGAAACATCAACCTACAAAATTGTTGTATAGCAAAAATGCAAGATAAGCTCTCAAGGACAACCGAGAAACTAATGAAACAATATGTTTAGAACTGTAATCTCTTACAGCATCAAGTCATCAGAAAGGCACGGTGAAATGTGTCCCTAGAATGTTTACTTACAATTTGTAACATTTGGGGCTATCTCGGGTATGAATCGAAAACCCTTCACTCAATCGAGTATCAGAAGCAACAATTGAAAAATCTTCTCCAGCAATCGCCAATACAGTACTGCAGGAAAGAGAAAGAAAATTCATTCTTCAGGATAGTAATCCTCTCTCTACAAATAAGAGAATGCTCCAGAGAACAAACCAGGATAAAATACACTTAATGTAAAAAAGAACAGCATTCAATTGGAAGAGGAAGATTAGTGGGAGAGAAAGGCCTCTTGGCTATAAGCCATCCCCAAGGAAATCATAAGCTTAATCAGGGCAAAGGCTCTTTGGCAGGAAATAATTGAAAAGCCACCAAATCATCATCAAAAATTAAATACCTACTTGTGCAAAGTTCTGATAATACAGAACCGTGTCTATTCTCTTGATGACCAGGTATGGACAGTAGTACAATAACAAAAGCTACTTGAGTTCATAGAAAAGGTTAATTTTTTTCATGTCTTTATATGCAAGTCTTTATATAAATCTAGCCCTTGAAGTATTTGCTGAGAAGAGAACAAAGAGTAAATTTTTCCCTTTGAGTTGTGTAATTAATAAGCAATTACTGAAGAGAATCACAGCATTAACTCCAAAAGCAGACAGTCTAGGTTCTAATTCTGGCTCTCCCACTTAGCAGCTATAAGGCTGTAGGTAAGTTACTTCTCAAAACCTCAACATCCTTATATACAATAGAGATCAGAATAGGAGCCACCTTCTTAGAGTGTTGCAAGGATTAAATGAGTAAAGTTCTTCTAACAGTTATAAGTTCTTCTAACCAGCATATAACTGGTCCTTTAAGTCTATTGAGTATTAGGTATGCCTGCTGTGGCCTCACAGTGTAGTGACTAAGCACATGGGCTCTGGGATTACCTGAGTCAGAGACTTACTCTTGATACTTAATAGCTGTGTCACCTTGAACAAACTCTCCAAGTTGAAGTTGATAATGACAGTACTGCCTGTGTTGTAGGGTGATTGTGAGGATTAAATGACATAATTCACATAAAATAACAAGCATAGTGCCTCACAGAATCTGAGCACTTAGAAAACTTTAGTCACTATTTTTACTGAGGTGGGATTTGTGCTAAAGCTTTGAAGTAGAAAAGGATGGCATTCCTGATAAATACACAGAGCAAAGGGCAACAGGTAATAATTCAAATACAGTAGAACTTCTGTAAATTGACTACTCAAGGGACTGAAACTAACTGGTCAACTACAGAGGTGGCCAGCATAAGGAACTAGGCTTCCTGCACTGATACCCACATGTGGTGCATGTGCAGTCTGTGAAAACTAAGTCACCTTAAGGAGATAGTCAATGTAAGCTATGGAGGTGGTAAGCTATGGAGGGTCCTCTGTACTACATTCAAGTAACTTATTCAGGTGGCCTTTTTTGTGTAAGTAAGCACCGGGACATAAGGTTTATGTGATGTACATGATTCTTACTGCAGAAGATCCCAAATGGCAAACTAAAGATTTTGGAATTTTAGCAAGGAACCCTGAAGGTTATCTGAGCAATAATGAGAAAAGTTCCACTCACAAAGTGGGGTTTTAAGAAGTCTACTCTAATAATGACATAATGTGAAACAGGATAGAAACACTGTTCCAATAAGCCTAGTGTAGATAGGTAAGGAGCAGGGCAAACAGGAGGAAACAGGTAAATCCAAACATCATCACAAATACACAAAACAGACATGGTTTTCTATCTACCCAAAAGTGTTAGGAACTGGTAAAACCAATTATGACATCTAAGATTTTAAACTTGGATGAGTACAATGATGGCATAATAAAGAGTATTTTAAAGGAGAGTATATAGAAATAATTAGCGTGCTTTTGGTTTTGTTAATTTAATTGGTAAAATATCACCACTACTTTAATTTATGGTTCTTCATTGTCAAGAGTCTTTTTTTTAGAAACAGAGTCTCACTTTATGACTCTGCCCTCGGTAGAGTGCTGTAATGTCACAGCTCACAGCAACCTCCCGCTCCTGGGCTTAGGCGATTCTCTTGCCTCAGCCTCCTGAGTAGTGTAGCTGGGACTACAGGTGCCCGCCACAACGCCTAGCTATTTTTTTGTTGTTGCAGTTTGGCCGGGGCGGGTTCGAACCGCCACCCTCGGTATATCGGGCTGGCGCCCTACCCACTGAGCCACAGGCACCGCCCAAGTCAAGATTCACCCGAAAAACCAGGGCTGTACTAAGCAAGCCCGAGCAAGGCGGGCATGCAGAGGGAAACACAGGCGAGACGGCTGCACGGAGACTCGCCCCGCGCGGACAGGGCCAGGGCAGCACCTTTCCCGCCAGGAGCCCACAGGCCTAAGCACAGACATGAGAGGGCTAAAGTGAAAGCGGCGGCTCCCCTGGGCTTTACCCTCCGTTGAAAGCGTAGGGCGAAAAGCGCAGCTGCAAAGGGCCGGCGGCACTGTGCGGCTCCATGCCCTGATATTTCTGCCCCGACCCGAGTAAGCAGCGGCAGGACTCAGTATCGCGCGGCGGCGGCAACAGAGGCGGCGGCGACGGCGGCGGCTCCTGCTGTCTCACAGCTAGATGGCGGCTGGGCCGGATGTGACGCCAATTCCGCTCCTCTCCCTCCCTCTCTAGCTCGTGCTCGTCGTTGTTCTTGGATTTAGCGCCCCCGCCTGGCCGGTTGCTGAGAGGGTGCTATGTGTTCCAAGAAAGCCAACCGAGATATACAGATTTCTTTCTTTCTTTTTTTTTTTGAGACAGAGCCTCAAGCGGTTCCCCTGGGTAGAGAACTGTGACATCACAGCTCACAGCAACCTCCAGCTGCTGGGCTCAAGCGAGTCTTCTGCCTCAGCCTCCCAAGTAGCTGGGACCACAGGCGCCCACCACAACACCTGGCTATTTTTTGGTTGCAGCGTCATTGTTGTTTGGCAGGCCTGAGCTGGATTCAAACCTGCCAGCTCAGGTGTATGTGGCTGGCGCCTTAGACACTTGAGCCACAGGTGCCAAGCCTGGTATATATCTTTATAGTCTATAGTTTCACATTTGATCCTCACAACTCACTGAAAAGAAGATATTCCAGTAATATTAATTTAACAAGAAACTGTTTAGGACCTACTCTGAAAGAAAACTTTACTGGGTGCTAAATCCATCATTGTCATAAAAAGGACTTGTTCTTTTCCGTCCCAGAGCTAGTGAGGAAGTTAGACAAACAGTGAGCAAACACACGCAGGGAAGGACACACGACATGAGGGCATCAGACTAAAGAACTTAATTGAACAGGGTGGTTAAGGATTGGCTTTCTGCAGAGGCAACATTTAAGTTAAGATCTATAAAATGGCTCGGGGCCTGTGGCTCAAGGGGCTAAGGCATCAGCCACATACACCTAAGGCGGCGGGTTCGAATCCAGCCCGGGCCCACCAAA